TTCCTAATCAAACTCCCGTGGCACCTCGTCGTAATGGGAGGAGAAGCAGGTTACTTGACCGGTATACCGGGGAAGCACAGATCATCACTGCTGATGACGATAAGGAAGTTCCATTGACCTTTAAGGCTGTAATGGAGGATTCTGATAAGGAAAAATGGCAAGCAGCTATGAAACTTAAAATGGAGTCCGTGTACTCCAACTCAGTATGGCAACTTGTAAATTTACCCGAATGAGTAAAACCCATTGGATGCAAGTGGATCTTCAAGAAAAAGAGAGGATCGGATGGAAAAGTGGGGATTTATAAAGAAAGGCTAGTGGCTAAAGGTTACACCCAGAAAGAGGGAGTTGACTATGAGAAAACTTTCTTGCCAGTAGCCATGCTTCAGTCCATTCGGATACTCCTGGCTATAACAGTATATTTCAACTATGAGATATGGTAGATAGATGTCAAGACTGCTTTTCTGAATGGCCATCTTAAGGAAACCATCTATATAGATCAGGCAAAGGGTTACATAGAAAAATACCAAGAGCAGAAAGTTTACAAACTGCAGAGATCTATTTATGGATTAAAGCAGGCTTCTAGATCATGGAACATCAGGTTTGATGAGCCTATTAAGTCTTATGGATTTGATCAAAACGTTGATGAACTATGTATCTACAAGTATAAGAAAGAAGAAAAGGTGGTCTTCTTAGCTCTTTATGTAGATGACATTCTACTCATTGGAATGATGTGGACTTGATAACAGACGTAAAGAACTGGTTAGCCAACCAATTCCAAATGAAAGATTTGGGAGAGGCAAGCTATTTTCTTGGGATTAAGATTATTCGAGAGCTCAAGAAAAAACTGTTGGCGTTATGTCAGGCATCGTACATAGACAAAGTGCTTGTCACGTTTTCGATGCAGAACTCCAAGAAAGGGAATTTGCCTTCTAGGAGATAAGGATAAAACTTCTTCTAAGTGTCTGACTACTACTTTATAAATAGGAGATTGCAGAAAATTAGATAACACAATTTTTGCTCTCTCTAGCACAGGTGGCCGAATTTTAGAGAGTGAGGATGGGAAAATTTTTCTCCCAAATTTCACATCGTGCATGTGTTGGTGTTCGTGAAAAACTTAAGTGTTTATTTACTAATCCCGTTTTGTTTCGGGTGTGTTCATACACACGTCTTTGTGGATTTAAGAAATTGATGAGGAAGATTTGGGTATTCTAAACATGCTTGGAGCGAGGAACGTTCAAGGTTAAAGAACTCAAGTTATCGACCTAATCGTTCGCTAAGTAAATTTATTCATAAATTAATTTGATTAATTTATTCCTGCATGAATTAATGTAATATATAGAGCATCTCAAAATTTTGTGAAAATTTTTGTTATACATGATCCGCTAGATACACACTTCCGCATTGAAAATTGTTTTCAAAACCAACATTTATAACTTATTTTTTCCTCATTTCTTCTCTACGAAACAACTTAAAATTCCATTGTCCTCTCCAAAATTCTTCTCCTAATTTTTTTCCTCTCTTTTACACTCTACCAAACATAGGCTTACTCATATAACTCTGTCAACATCAAGGGAAAAAAATCTCAATTAGAAGTCTGAAATTCATGTTCAATCAGTGCTGCAACTTCGGGCAGCGGGCATGGCTGGTGCCAAAAAATTTTGGGCACGGCGAGCAGGTGCCTCTCGCCGCCCGACCATGGTATTTTCCGGGCACGGGCTCAGGCAGCCCAAAAATATTCATTCCCCCGACTGCTCACCGCCGTGGAGAAGTCGTCCCCCACCGTTCGCCGGATTTTTTTTTAATTTTCCGGCATTACCCGAAGTTGCCTAAATTTTACCCGAATTGCTTTGCCTGGTGCCCGACTTTTTTTGACCGTTGCCCAAATTTTTTTTACCGTTAGCCCGAAAAATGCCCGAATTTTGAACCAAACGGATCTTTTTTTTCCTGACCCGAACCCGAATTTTTCCCGAAAATTTGAACCCAACGGTCGAATTTTTTACCATTGCCCGACCTGCCCGAACTACCTGAAAATTATACTAGCCGTTGGACCTGAATTTTTAGGGGAAAAAAATTTTTTTTTCAACCCAAAAATTTTCCTATAAATACCCCCTCCCCCCAACCATTTTCCTTATCAAAAAACTCTCATTCTCTCTCAATTTCTCTTAATCTCTCTCAAATCTCTTTCAAATCTCTCTTAATCTCACTTAAATCTCTCTCGATCTCTCTTAATCTCTTTCAAAGCGCTCTCAATCTCTCTTATTTTTCATAATAGCTTCTTCTAGTTATGGTGGTGATATTTCCATTGATGCCCAATTCAACATCGAAGAAGGACAATTTCCTAATATTTTTCAAACGCGGGAATCACAAACTATGGAAAGAGTTGCTGATGAAACTGCAAATCTGACCCTTGGTGGACGTACTAGAGGTCGGAGACGTAATGGTGGTGGCACTGGTGGCCGTGGAGGAGAGGCAAGCGGTAGTGCTAGTGCAAGTGTTGCAAGTTCTAAGAAGAAATGCAAACGCACCTCAGCAGTTTGGGAGCACTTCAACACATTTGAGGAGGTCAACAATAATGGTAACATTAAATACATAGCTCAATGTAAATATTGTGGTGAGAAACTACATGGTAACACTATTCACAGCACTACACACTTAAGAAGACACTCTGAAAAGTGTCTTCAAAAGCAAGGAGTCAGAGCTAATCTCCGCCAAACGTAATTATCGTTTGACCGCCAAACCGGCAGTCTAAGCACGTGGAAATACGATTCGTAAGTTGATCATATGGAAATGGCACGATTAATAGCCACATTAGATCAACCACTAAGTTTTACTGAATAAAGAAATTGGCAACGTTATATTAAAATTGTATATAATCCTAATGCCAAATTTTTTTCTATAACTACTCTCAGGAAAGATGCATTAAAATTATATAAACAAGAAAAGGAAGCATTAATCAACCTTCTACACTCTACTAGTGGTTGCGTTGCATTAACGGCGGATATTTGGTCTGCCGTTGCCAACAAGGATTATTTAACTGTATCCGGACATTATTATAAAGGTTTTAATTTGGATAAGAGAATCTTAGGTTTCAAATGTGTTATAGGATCACATACTGTCAATTTAATATATAACACAATTTTATCTGTTGTTGATGAATATAGTTTAAGAGATAGAATAATGGGCATAACATTAGATAATGCAACTGCAAATACTAAAGTAATAGAACTTTTTGAAAATGATTTAAGTTTATTCGGTAATAATGATATATTTCACCAAGGTTGCGCATGTCATATAATTAATTTAATAGTAAAGTCCGGTTTAAAATCAATGCCAGGTCATATTAAAAGAATTAGAGATAACATTGCTTGGATTCAAGGTAGCAATCAAAGAATACAAGATTTGTTTAGATTTCTACAAGCATGTAATTAAAATCCTAGAGCATTAACCTTAGATATGCCCATAAGATGGAACTCTACTTATATAATGCTTGAATAATGCATCCCCTATAAAGATGCTATAACAAATTATGTTAGTGCAAAATTAGGACCATGATTTATAGATGAAACTGATTGGTAAGTTGCCGAACTCTTGTATAACTTTTTAGGTAGATTTCACGAAGTTACCTTAAAGCTTAGTGGAACTTATTACCCAACGTCATCATTAGCGTTAAGAGAACTTTTAAGAATGTCTATTTTATTTAGTGAATTTAGGACACACGAGGTTTTAGAAGTTCCTATCGCCTCTATGGCAAAGAAGTTTAAAAAATATTAGTCTAAATTACCCATGTTGTATGGTTTTGGTGTTATTTTCGACCCTAGATTAAAATTAGAAGGTTTAGAAAGCGGATTAGATAACTTAGGTAAATTTTTAGCTATCGACACTACTGACCAATTTTCTATTATAAAGGAAAA